TAACCACATGCGGCTGTGGCTGCTGTACTGTAGAGGGCAGAAAGGACATAACCAAGTTCAAGGCCAGCCTGTTCTATATAGCAAGAAACTGTCTTAAAAAAGATAATTTTACCTGGCTCAATAAGGCATTAGGTCAGTATGGCACTGAAAAGACTATGTAGGCATCTCTTTTATTTCCAAGGTGTTTTTTTTTTTTTTTTTTTTTTTTTTGGTTTGTTTTTGTTTTTTGTTTTTTTTTGTTTGTTGTTGGTTTTTTGTACCAGGGATTAAACCTAGGGCCTTTGCACTGAGCTACAACCCCCAGGATTTAATTTATTTTTCTTTTTTCTTTTCTTTTTTTGTTTTTGAGTCAAGCATGGTGACAAATATCTGTAATCCTAGCGGAGGCAGGAGGACTGCTATGAGTTCAAGGCCAGCCTGAACTGCATAGCAAGACCTTATCCCAACAATAAAATAAATAAATAAACTAATTTTTTTTTGGAGGCAGGTTCTCACCAAATGTTACGGTTTTATGTCTAGATGTTTTCCCCAAGGCCTCATTCAATTGACAGGGTTCTAGAGTTTTGATTAATTCTGATTCCAAGGCTGGGACTATGGGTGTGAGTGCTGCTGAAATTATGGGTGTGAGTGCTACATCTGCGAGGGCCAGGGCTTACAGCCTGAATACAGTACAAGGGAAGGAAAGGAGCTTGCTTTCTGCTGCTGCTCCTCCTTTTTCTCTCTTGCTGTTTTGCTATCTTCCCCCCTTACCCCTCCTGCCAAGAACTACTGCCCTCCGCCATGAGCCACTCTGCCTTGGAACCAGCTGATTATGGACTAAAACCTCTACTAACTGTGAGCTACATAAACTTTTCCTTCCTTAATTTTGGGTGTCGAGTATTTTTGTCACAGCAATGAGAGAAAAGCAACCAAGGAAGTAGTATGTTGCCCAGACTGGCCTTACATTTGTGATCCACCTGCCTCAGCCTTCCAGAGTGCTGGAATTACAGGTATGTACCACTGTGCCCAGCTTGGATTTTTTTTTTCTTAATAGAATTTTTGTTAAAGGCAGCATAGAGCTGCAAAGACTGCCAGAGACTGAAAACCTGATGACAGCAGGGACTGGGCCTTAGTTCTCTTTGTTACTCATCCCTCGTGCAATGCCTGACACATGATAAATGTGTCAGTAATACATATGCGTTAAATGATTATGGAACTGAGCGGGCGGCAGATCCCTATGAACAGTGACTTTCTTGGGTTGCTTGCCTATAATTCCACTATTGCTACTCCTACCTCAGCACATTCTGAGACCAAATGGAAGACTGCCTGTCCCTGTCCTGGGCTCTGACAGCTGCTCAGGATGTACTCAGCATGCATCCAGAAGTAGTATCTTTCCTTTTTTGTCTTTTAAAAAAATTTTGGAAAAAAAAATTTTTTTTTTGGTACAGGGTCTCACTATGCAGCTCAGACTCGTAGTGATCCTCCTGTATTTAGCCTCCCTAGCCCTGGGATTACAGGGATGCGCCACCATACCTGGACTCTGTCACCAGCTCTGCAAACCCTGGTCCCTGCACTTGCCTAAGTAGGCGCTTAGTCCACTGAGCTATCTCACCAGTCCATCTTTCTTTTTTTTTGAAATAAAATAACTTCTGATACTTGTAGAACCCTTACATATTTATGACTAGAGAGAGAGAAAGCG